AATATCTTTTGAACGCTTAATTTAATCGCCAAAAAATAAGACACCATTTTTATAGAGCAGTTAATTTCCTACAAAAATTTGTATTGTGCACTTTTTAATAGTCATTTATTGTCGAATTATAAAATTCATAAACAAAAATGAAATTTGTCTAAAAATCATCAAATTTAAATCTTCAATATCATTCAAATGGTGAGGTTTACGGAAAAAATATAAGATACCTTTTTTGTAGAGCATTAAATTTCCTACAAAATTCGTCTAGAACATTTTTCTGTACAATCAATCAATAATGAGGTATGAATTTTAATCTATTAGACTGAAAAAAAAATAAAAAACTGCGATGCGGAGGATCTTCCTATTAAAATTAAGAGCTCATATTTGGTGAGAATTGTTTTGAGGTGTCTAGCAACCCACTTTTCCGTAGCAACCCACGTTTCCAAAAAAAAAAAACATTACAAATTTTGATTTTAATACAAGTGTTAACTTTTCATAGAAGCTTACATTTTTTATAATAGAAACATGTTTCCATCCTAAGCCCTACAAAAAAAGTTGCGTTGCAAATAGTTACAATTAATCACAAAATATTTCAAATGTAAGAAGATGATAATCTCGGCTTAAATCAAAACGAGTAATGTCAGTTGCAACAAATGCAATACATACTTAATGTACGTTTTATGCAGATCATGACATGATTTATTACACCAGGGTCAAGAATGGAAAAACGCAGGCGCCCGTATTTTTTACCAAAGGGTTGACGCGCTGTTCGATTTATTTATCGGAAATCCTCCTTTCCTTTTTGTTTTTTTTTATTCCCTTATCACAACTAGACGCGATGACGTGTTATGTTTGTATAATTCAAACTTCAGTAGTAATTGGACTACAATTTAGAATGTGTAATCTTTCCGAGACAAATTTTTTAATTGATTACCGTTATGTAACGGGCATAATTACATAACTTTTAATTAGCAAATTACTCTCAATATAGCAAATAAATTAAAAGAACGTAGTAGTACGTTGTGTGATTTTTTTTTGTTTTTTTTTTCTACAATATAAATATCACACACATGTAATTGACATATATTTTTCTACAAACAGGTAACAACCAAAAAAAATTACCAAATTCATTATTCAAATCGAAACGTTTATTTCGTTAAGTAAATTCTTTGATAAAGTCCACATTCAAAAATATAAATTAGAACGAGTATTAAAGTGCATGGAACTCATAAGTTTATTCGAGTTTATTCGATTTCGATTATTAATGGTAAGGCAGCTCGAGGCCAAGATCGAGTCTCTGAAAATTGAAAGTGTCATTGGTGATAAATTATGATATCGCGATTTATCGACGAACCGTCGAACGATACACGAATTTCGGTAAAAATAAGTCTCGTCGAAAAAAATTCTGTTATTAAAAACAACCAAAAGATTAGCCATTAACAAGCTTAATCGTCAAATTTTTAATATGAATAGTTTCAAGTTGAAAAAAAAAGTAATTTTTTATGTAAATGTAGGGAATTTTTATATTACATGATCTTCAGAATCAATAATATTTTATTTTATGTGAGTTCGTGTTAAATGATTCAAAGAACAAATTAAAAAAAGAGAGGATAAAAGGTTTACAAAATTGCGAAAAAAATAGTTGTTTTTTTTCTTACAATTTCTCCTATAATTGTTATTTTTCATAAAAAAAAAAAAGAAATATATAAAACAATGATTGAATTGATCGAATCTTTTTTTATATCTACGAACAAACGCGTATTTGTCCGTACAAAATAACGAATAAAATCAATTTTACATTCTGAATAAAAATCCACTTTAGTATGAAATATAAAATTAAATAATTCTTCAAAACTTTCACTTGCAGCCCATGTTATACAGGGATTTCCCTGATTCTCAAACGTTGTTGAAACGAAATTGTCCCGGGATTTCCCACAATACTCTAGCCATATATTGTAGAATGCTATGTTACATGTGGGTTACCAGTATTTACTACGCGCATATATAAATAATATCCATTAAAATTGTTTTCCTTTTCACTTACAATTATTAATCAAATGATAATACATTATTCTCAGAATATGTATGTTTTTATTTATTTGTAGATTTGTCGACGGTGAGTGCGGGTCTAACAGCGGGGACAGTACAGGTCAGTTAGAACTAAGCAGTGGCGAACAACTCGAAGAGGCATCTCCAGCGTCTATACTTGAGACCAACAACAATAGTTTACTACATGAAGATTTGGAACGCAGGATACCTTAGCCGGTTTAGCTTTGAAAAGCTAAGGGTCGCTTCTTTAACAATAAGACCCTGGTATTCGGTGAAGAATTTATTTTCTATAACTGTCGGCAGCAAATTGAATTTGCACAACAGGAAGCGATACCTCGCAGGAAAGTTTACCAAAAACCCAGAGAAACGAAGGACGATGAGGAGGAGAAATGAATAAGTAGGTGATCAAATAAAATAGAAGATGTGAGAAACAATCTTTCGACTCGTATGCACGGATAAAAGTGAACAGAGAGCGAGAGAGAGGGAGAGAGAGAAATAAAGACGACCTCACGAAAACGATATATATATTATATATACATATACGCACATATATACGTACATAGTACAGGTGGTTACTGCCTTTGCGAATCAATTCGTTCCAATCTCTCTTTCATAAAGTGAGAACCCGTATTTCCTGTACGTAATATTATTAACACATTTTCTGTTCCTGATAATTCATTTCTCTCTTTGAAAAGCTTGAAATAACGTTATCGTTAATATATAGATCCTTTTAATATTATATTTAATAATTACAGTAAATATGAAAAGAGATTTAAAAAAAGAAATAAAATGTCGTTTTAAAAAATTCGAGAACTAATTGTATATGTAGATATGTGAGTATATATATATATATATATATATGTACAGGATGTTTCAAATTTTCCCGCCAAACACATATATTCCGTTACAAACATATTCTACAAGTAAAAATAAGACAATGATATCTTATAAACATAGATTCTTTGATGCTTCATTATATGTTAGTAAAAATTAGCGGGGAAATAAATGGAGACACCCTGTATAATCGGTTAATTCGCAATTAAAATGGTCGTCGTTAAACCGATCGAGATTTATCGAGGACTATGCAATTTAATTTTACGACGCTCTCCGTCCAAGGCCGACTTCAACAGAGAATGAAAGATATTTTGAAGGTCGACCGGCTGAGAAGTTCGGCGAAAAAAGAGCGTCCGTCGATCTGCGCGCGACCAGCGGATCCGTTTTAAATAATACTAACACTTTCCCTTCGTTTTCTTCGTTCTCCGCGACGCGTTGGTTTAATATTATTCAGTTGAATTTTTGTGGTAGCTTTCAAAGCAGCTGACGATCTTTTTTTTCTATTATTTGTTATCTTTTACGATCTTTTTCGAAGAGGAATTTTCATTTGAACCTTATAAATGACACAATTCAGGATATTTTGACGATGTTAAAGAACGAGGGACCAAAAAAAGGAATATATTTTTTCTTCTTTTCTTTTTTTTTCTTTTTTGTTTTTATTCTAGACACCGTGGAATCGTAAAATTCTTTCGAACATTTAAACGCGGTGATACAAAAAATAATAATTATTATTATTAATATAATTATAGTAATATAAGTTAACTCCTCATACTCGCATTCGTTCGTTCGCGTTCGTATTCGCGTTCGATGTTAAATAACATAATATTATATAATAATTAAATCGTCTTAAACGAACCGCGTCGAAAGTACTATACGAGAAGAAACTGTGACACCTGATAACACGATCCGATATCTCGGTAGATATTTTTTTTCGTATAGACGCATAACCAACAACTATAATAAATAAATAAGTTTACGTTGTCGTGCATTGAAAAAAAAAGAAAATAATAATAATAATGAAGATTTAAGACTTCAATGAATATTATTTAAAATATTGTTCTTGTGTCACTCATTCTTTGACTTGGAAATTATCTAGCGTCAAAAATCGCGAAGAGTCAATCCAAAAATGGGAATATTAAAATTCCGTCGAATTTAAAAGAAGGATTCGTCATTAAACGTCATCAAAGTCGTTTCTTGAAACTTTCTATCGCTTTTCGTTTCAAAAGACTTTCGAACAAACGTCATTAACATTCAACGTTGTATCGATCAGTGTGAAATGAAAAAGAAGAATAGAAAAATATAAATATAAATATAAAGAAAAGAAGCGAAAAAACTGTGATAGAATTTCGTATTAAAAAACTTATTTTGTTCCGGGCGAAATCCTGTGAAGTTTGAAAAAGTTGGGTGCCGAAATTCGTGCCGTGTTGGTCCTTTCAAAGGGTTTCCTGAGGCCAATTATTTCACATCTCGTTCGAGTGCCTACACATTACAAGGGAAACGTTCGTCCGAAATTTAGAAATGAACACGCTACGTAAGACAAGTGATAAAGAAGAAGAAGAAGAAAAAGAAGAAGAAAAAGAAGAAGAAGAAGAGGATGAGGAGGAGGAAGAAAAGGAATAGAAAAAAGAAAAAGAAAAGGAAAAAAAAATGTAAAGATGAAGGAGCAAAGTTCTTTTTAAAAATCGGTGTACGCGATGAACATATAAACGAACGCGCTAATCTTGTATATGTATTATTTCGAGAATAGGGACCAGAAACTTCGATTTAAGTTACCATGCCTCATATATTCGTCGAGGTTGATTGTATAATTGCCTCATGCAATCGAGTTACCAAACGGCATCTCTTCTTTGATAAAAAGGGTAAAAGATTATCGTAATACCCAGCTAATCTTCTCGCGCGTTTATAAATACACATATGTATAAATATATGTATGTATGTATATATACATATATATGTTTATTAAAGTAAAATTCTCTCATATCTTCTCTTGTTTAAGAGGTTTTTGTACTCTATTCGTACTCACCTAAGTTTCTTCTTCGTGCATTTATCTTAGTTTATTATCTTTAATTTCCCCTGTTCTACGATAATCGCCTTGTCTTCTACTCAAATATAATTTTGAGTGCTGGTGCAACCGCGCACCGTTATGAACATTTTATTTATAATATATGCGAATTACGCGACGCAGATTTATATGTATGTATGCATGCATGCATGCAATAGCGGGATATGATCGAGAATATTTGACAAATCCATTGTGAATATCTTCTATTTTATAATCAATCGTATATACGTCTCCACTCCGTTTATATAGGGCTTGATAAAGTAAGTGATTAAACTTGCGAAGCATTTTATCTTCATTTATTCAAGAGAAATAAGAAATCGATCGATTTAAGTTCATTCCTAAACTGCCAAGTTTCTCATTAACATTCAACATTTTCTCCATTTTTTCATTTCAACAATTAGACTAAAATATCTTTCAAAGTTCGTTCATATGATTTAAAAAATATTCTGTATATTTCGATGATTGTATAAATACTGATATAGATGGAAATAATTCGAAACGTATCATTTATATACATGCTCGTGCATAAGTGCGTGATTGTGTGCGTGCATGCTTGCATGCATGCATCATACATTCATTAATTTTCGACATAAACGTATACCGGGATAAGCCACACATATACATATATATTCAATTTGAGAATATATTTTTGAAAAATCTATTCCGTATATAAATATAAATATAAATATAAATAAATAAATAAATAAATAAATAAATATATATATATATATATATATATATATATNTATATATATATATATATATATATATATATATATATATATATATGGGTGTGTGTGTATATATGTGTGTGTATATACATAGATATAGTATAAAACATCGAAAAAGCATAATATATTGTTATACGATGAAGAGTCTCAAAAGTGCATTCTTCTTTATTGTTTTTTTTAATCGTTTGTCTCGTTAAGTCAATCAGATTTAACAAAAAATTATTAAGTCTCTAATTTAATATATAGATGTATGCATAGACTACAAAAAATTTATCGTAAACCAATGATTATTTTCTTTCGATAAAAGAAAAAGAAACTTTCTTTTCCAAAATAATTCCCCATTATTCTCGATGGAGAAACGCGCGCGCAAACGTTTACATTTATCTTTTAAAATTTTAAAAGCTATCTCGTGCTCTTCGTATTAATTATCCCCTAATATGTAAACGTTTTTGTTAAATTTTACAGATGCTGACGATGTTGTGATTTGAACGAGCTCCTTTTAAAATTTCAATAATTTTACTTTTGTTCCTTATGACAACGAAAGAGAGAAAGAAAGAAAGAAAAAAAGAAAGAGATAAAAACAGAAAGAGAATCAGAAAGTAAAAAATATCTACGAAAGGAATATATAGGTTAAAGGAAATAAATAATGAGAAATTATAACGTTCACTTACCCTTTCCTGTGATCATTTATCCATTATTATTCGAACTAAATTTTTATCAAATTCTTATATAAAAAAAAAAAAACTTGTGCCAATATATTTTTGCAATGTTGTATTATTACAATGTCATGTTTTATTCTATCGAGTTCTCAACAAGTTGTTTAATTCGATCAAACTGTTGATAACAATCCTGTAAATAGTAGAGCGCGATTTTTCGTTGCATTATACATTATTTTGATAATTTATATATTTTACGTATAAAGCAAAGGTTGTTTCCTCCCCCCCCCTTCAATAGAAGCACTAATTAATGCTGTGCATTACCCTCTTCCCTCTAGCCCCCTAAAAAAAAAAAAGAAAACAAGAAAAAGAAAAGAGAAATATTGAATGTGTGCTCTTTCTTGCGAGTTACTATTATTCCTTTCGCTTTTAAACAATAAATCATACTGTTGTCTTTCATATAAATACATATATGCATAGTTTGAAGTCAGCAGTAATATCACATAATCTCTTTTTGGTTGTTTTTAATACTCTAAGATTATAAAGACATATGTCATGTATTTTGTTTATACTTCTTTCTCTACAATCACTTTAGATTGTAATCGATTATTATATCTAAAACAATATACATCACTATCTATTATATTTTTGTGCGCATCTAAAATAACCTTCCGATTGTAACCGCGAAAGTTCTCATTTCATTGACAATAGAATACAAAGCTCGTTATCAGTTATAGTATTACTGTATATTATTAACGATTATCAAGAAAATATTTAATAATTTTAACTACTTCTATTTCGAAGGTGATATGCATAAATCATTCGTGAACTGATGAACATCAAACAAGGCAATAAAAATGGTATTTTTCAGCGTGGTATATTTGCATACATATATATTTAAAAATGATTGAAAAATGAATTTTAAAATGCATACCTTGCACTTATTAGTCAAATACTTTATTGATCTTTCTTTTATAAATATAATGGTTCCTACAGTCATACGATATTTCAAATACCTATTCTTTATCTATTTGTTATAATGGCCGTTTTTAGATTAATAAGCAGACATTCTCGTACGGTTTATGTATATGAGCAAAATTCCTGTTATCATTACTTCTACCAGAAATAGTTACTTCTTTAATACTTTTAATAATGTGACGTTGTATAATTGAAATTTTTATCATCTAAAATTATTTTGATTTAATATACATTATATATAAAAGTTATAAACCGTTTAAGAGTATATACTCTAAATACTTTTTCATTTCTTAGAAATATTGATTTAATTAAATATAAATAAATTCTACCATTTATTCCTTTATTTAATAGATTAATATTATTTGATAATGAATTTTTTAAATAGGTGCACACTCACATTACGAAATACACCACTAGATCACGCTGGAAACAGTAATGGCTGCCGCCATTTGACGATCAGAAAGGAATTTACACTTTTGTTTCCATGTAAGTTTATGGGTGTATATGGATACTATTTTTTATTTATTCCTTTATTATTTAATTGTAAGTGATTACAGTTTTAGAAAAATGAAGTACAATTACGTATAAGTTAATTAACAAGACTGATACAAACGAGGAATGACTTGCTATAGTATTATATCAATTAGAAAGTATAAGTGACATTAAAGATTTTAAAGTAAATAAATATTTTACGACCGGCACTTCAAGCATAATTCAAAATTTCTTATCGATTTTTAATTATTGAGCAAAGGTAAGGCGCTATAATATAGATATTTATAAATGTTTAAAGGATTAATTATTGTTTCTACGGAGGATGTGCATATTGGTTTAATATTTATTTCTAAATATTTTACATCACTAAAATATTGACATCAAATAATATATCATTAATTATAGCACTAATTTTATTAATCAATATTATCACAATAATTCAACTTCATCCATTTAACAAAATTTTACAGAATCAAACATAATGTGTTCGACAACATTGGAAAAAGTAGAATTACACGCAGATGTGTATATGGTATGTCTGCACCATGCTTTGTCAACAGAAATATTTGAAGTAATGGGTTTACTTATTGGAAATGTAAGCATTTTTTATTATCTTGATTAAATTTTTTTAATAATACTTGTTAAGAAATTTGAATTGTCAATTTAAGTCATCCTTATTCTCACATTTTAGTGCGTTAAAGGTATAGCAAATATATCTGCTGTTATGATTTTGCACCGTTTAGACAAGAAAAAAGACCGTGTAGAAATATCTCCTGAACAAGTATTAAAAGCAGCTGCGGAAGCTGAACGTTTAACTGATGAATTAAATCGTACCATGCGAGTTCTTGGATGGTATCATTCCCACCCCCATATTACTGTGTTTCCATCTCACGTAGGTATGTGAACATCTGACGAGTAACATTTCTATCGTATAATATTTAATCTGATTTTAATAATACTTATATTATACTTCCAAATTTTATTCTAGACGTAGGAACTCAAGCAACTTATCAAACAATGGATTCCGGTTTTGTAGGTTTAATATTTTCAGTATTTTCTGAAACCAAGGATTCAAAGGTTTCTATTATTATTCTTATTTAAAAATTAAATATATTTTTAAATATTATATTATATATATAATATATTCATGTATATATATAATTAGTCAATGATATCGAAAATTAAAATGAATTTATATTTATTTTATTTAGGAACAAGAAATATCTTTGATTTGTTTTCAATCTCACGATGGGAAATGTAAAGAAGTTCCACTAGAAATTATATATACCCCAGAATTATCAGATATATGTTTGAAAGTAAGTTTCTTCTTTATTATGTAATAACTCCATGCATAACCAATTAAATCAACATAAAAAAATAAAATGTCATAAATATATATTTTAATCTTTCGTAACCGTAGACAATGACAGATATACCAAAAATTTTGGTGCAAGAAGAAGAAGATACAGCAGATGCTGGTAAAAATCATCCAGATATTCTTGCTACTATACATAATAATGCTGGTATGTATGTGAACAGATTTTACAACTTAAACATTCGCAAAAAAATAAATCTAATGAATATTTTCAGTCAAAACTCGTGCACTTCTTCATATCACAGATATTATTACTAGACCTTTAGTACTTACATTTGAGGAAAGAATAGCTTTAAATACATTACGTGCGGCATATCTTCGAAAACAAATATCAGAGTTACAGCAACTCTGTAAAGGCTAAAATTCATAATATTAACAATCATCCCCATAAGAAAAAAATAATAAACCAGATGATGCGAGTCCTATGTACTATTTCTAATGTTTAATATTAATCGATTATAAATAAAGTTTACGCTATTTTCATGTTTATATTTGTCATATTTATGATTACTGTCGAAAATAAGTATTACTGCAAGATGATTATAAATAAATACACGTTACAACATAATTGCGTAGATAACTACTAAAATGTTTCTTAAAGAATGTAAGTAGAGAACACGTATATGTACATATATATATGTATATGTATATGTATTATATATTGTGTGTATATATTATATAATAATGAATAATATTATTTTATAATACATAATATATGTAATGTATATTACAATATATATGTAATATATAATAATACATATTATTTATAATATATATAATATATATATACATTTCATATTCATTTTGTATTACCAACATTATCTTATCGTAATTTGATTAGTTAATAATTCCGACAAAATTTTCAATGAGTAATTTTTTTGTTTCACGAACAAAGATCTGGCAATAATTGCACATCTCTATATGTACACTACGAGAATAACAGCGTAGTTAAATAGACTTAAACATATTCAAAACACAGATTCTGCAGAACGAGAAAGATGAGTAGGATGAGAAGGACTACGTTCTAACCTTTTACGAGGTAGCTTTTCGAGTGTAGTTAACAGTTTTGCAAAGTCAGGTCGGTTTTCAAGATGGTATGACCAACAAAACATCAAGATATCCTAAAAATAAACATATAATATATATTAATGTATATTTATGTATATATTTTTTTTATTTAGATATATAGGATGTCTTGCAACTGGTGGTTTATACTGCCTGCTTACTTGTACCATTACTTAGAGAACACTCTGCATATTTGTACGAAATTTGACTTATATTAAATCTTACCTTAACATCACGAGAAGCTTGTAAATTAGCCAAAGGTTGCTTCATTCCTTTACCTACTTGCCAAATGATAGCTTCAGGAGGTTGACCTTTAAATGGCCATTCACCACATAAAAGTTCATACCATACGGTTCTGAAATATATTAGAAATGTCATTGAATTTACATAAATAATATTTATAAGTCAAAGATAAAAAGTGTGTACATGAGTACAAACCCAAATGCATAAACGTCAGAAGCTTCTGTAAATGGTAACTCTTCTTGATCTCGAGTTTGTTGTGGTTTTAATCGTCGTACAATTTCAGGAGCCAAATAACACAACCAACCTGGTGGTATACTTAATCCATTACCTTTCCTATATATTAAATATAAAATTATTAATATGAAAATTACACGCGAACATTTATAAACAACATATATTTAATTTTACTCACCTATTACCATAACAGAGTTTAGTGACACTGAACAGACCAAAATCAGTTATTACTACTTTCCCATTTTCTAAAAATATGTTTTTGCTTTTCAAATCCTTGTGAACTATACCACGGGCATGAAGATACCCCATTCCCTATATAATCAATATTAAGAGATATTTTATATAGATAGTATTAAATTTATATAACATTACTATTTAATATTTTACACATACCTGAGAAATCTGTTGAGCGATAACAGTGGTTTTATTCATACTGAATTTATCTTTTCGTAAATGAATATGAGTGTAAAGTGTCATGCCTTTGCTCAGACTAGTTACTATGGCTAAACATGGAGGTTTCATACAAGCTCCCATAAATAAAACCAAATTTTCGTGTCTAGTCTTTCGGAATGTAGCCACCTATAAAGATGATGCACTCGTAAACAATGACGTAGCTTTACTTAATTGATTCGTAACTCAATATCACATCATAACCTAAGTCTCATACTTCTAATTTGAAGGCTTCTAATGTTTTATCGTCATCAAGATAATAGTCCATATTTAAAACTTTAATTGCAACATCTCCATGCCAGTTTCCTCTGTAAACTGTTCCAAATCTTCCAACACCTATAGGTTCTCCAATTTTTAATTCATCATATGGAATGTCCCATTCCCTTATAGATAACTGTAAATACATCAAATAATTTTAAATTTAAGTATATTACTTGTTTTCTCTTTTATTTAAACATTTTTTTTTAGTTAAAATTAATATATCATAATTAATACAACTAGTTTACGTACACTATTTTGACGAGGCCACCGACTATCTCCTGGTTCCCCATCAGAAACCTGAGAATCTTGGGAATCTACTCTGACTGGTGTACGCTCTGAATCAGTGCTAACGCTGCCAGAATTGGAAACACTTACTGTCCTCTCACTATCACTTGTATTTTCAATACGATGCGTTTCCAATGTAACACCTTTATCATTCAATACAACATCTACAAACATATCATCTGAAATATTTGATATACTTGATGTACAAAAAAGATATATTACCTGGAAAATGAAACTGTTGCTTCATAGGTGCTTGCGGAGTTTGGCTAGTATTGGCAGGTAATAAAGCTGGACTAGAAGGTGTTGAGCTATTACAGCTCGAGGTATTCGAACTAGAATCAGCACCCTACATATATAAGTAAATAAAAATAGTATCAAAATAATTTTTCAGTTAAATAAAATATAAAATAAAATAACATTGATATACCGGAAAAGGTATATTCATAGTAGAATGAGGGTGTGACCGCTTTCTATCTCTTCGATTCAACGAAGCCAATAAATTAGAACTATGATGATTAGGGGATGTTATACTTGGTTTGTTTAATATTGGAGATACATTAACCATACCTAATAATAGAAATATTATTATTATAAATTAAATAATTATTATTATTAGAGTACAATTATAAATACTAGAATTCATACCATCACCCTGAACAGATCTTTTGAACTCATCAAAAAGTTCTTGAGGTAGGCCACAAGAGGGAGGTACTTTAGATTCGCAGTCTCTATGACATTTATATTTACATTCTTTGCATTTCAAGCCAGTTCCTATAAACATTTGTTTGTCACAATAGTCGCAAGAAGATATCATTTTAAATGTTTTAGTGAATCGATGAGCGATAAAATGACCCATCCCACGTGTTACAGTTGGAGTACGTGGCGATTTTGGCACTTGCAAACTTGTTATTACTAAAATATATTATTAATGTTTATTAGTATAAAACATAATTTTTTGCTGAATATTTAGCAATATATTCTTTCTTAGTTATATTATTATTACCAGTTCCTTTAAAACTGTTATCGTCACTATCTGCACTGGAATATGGAGGTGATTTGATAGGACTGTTACTATTCGGTAAAAAGTATTCTGTCATGATATCTGCATTACTACTACATGACCCTGTTTCTGTAAGTAAACGATTTCTTCTTCCTACAGAGCTAACATGATGATCGCCTGCACAACTGCAAGAAGAATAGTACATAACTATATATTATATTTAAGCTTTGTATAAAGTTGATTAAATTATAATTTATGATTTAAACATTACCTAGAAGCTGTATCTCCATTTTCAAGACGGTTTGCTAACTGTGACTCATGAGATTTTGACTTAGTTAATGGAAACACTTCCGGCTGCGATATAGTATTTTGTAAACCAATTTGATGTTTTTTACAAGGAGGTGGAGTTGTGGGAAATTTGATCGCTGTTACAAAAAAGATAAATTAAAATTATATAAAAAAAAAAATGATAAATGTGGTCATATAAAAATACATACTATGCCCTTGTCTTTGTAATAATGGCGTAGAAGGTGGACTAGTAGATGATAAAGACGTTATAGAAGAAGCTTGTGCTAGCATATCGCTAGTGAGATTATTATTATTATTGTGATATGGAATACTATCTTCAGAGGGAACAGAACATCTTGTAATACGAGATCGAATAAGTCTAGGAGATGCGCCAGAACGTAAGTGATGCCTATCCCAAGAGTCCCAATATAAATTCATATCACTGTTTTCCACATCTCCTCTTAAAAGTGCATCTGAACAGAATACACATTATAATGTAGCAACGATAATTTTTATTTTTATAATAAATAATTATTAACCCCTTGTATACTATAATTTAATGCAACGAGCTGTGTGCTTTATTTGGTACTATATTTCATGCTTCTTATATTCGATTCATAAGATTTGCTACAAATAAGACTCGTTTTTCTTGTTTGGACCATAATATGTATCACATGTCTCACATGTTGTTATAGAGCAAAGGTTTAAAAATATAGTATTTAAAAAAAAATTAAATCTCTTACCCATGTATCTGCGAAGATTATGTAATGCTCTACAAAGTCTACGAAGTTCTTCCTTATGTCTAACATTATTCTCGCCTAGCATAGTACCCAATTCATGTTCTGATTTTTCTTTTAACGCTTCAAGAGAATTAGCTTTAGAACAAACCATCTATAAATAAATGTTACATATTTTATTTACTTGAAGGTAATAAAATGTAAAGGATATTAAGAATAAATTTTTGTTGAATACCTTACTGTCTGCGTTTAAAAATTCAAGCTAAACATACTTATATTGAATTTACTTAACAAATAAATAAAAGTATATGTAATTATCAATTAATAATATACATACTTGAATAGATTCTTGTGTGAGACCCACTACGCGTAACCACTGTTGCAAGGATGGATATTGTCTCATTTCTGCTGGTAATGATTCTACAGCAAGTTTGGCTTTAGTCACCAGTTGCTTCGAATATAACTTAATCAATTTTCCCTAAAACATATGTATAGAATGTAAAAAAAAGAAGAAAAGGAAAGGAAATAGTTCCCTAAGACACACAAAACTAAATTAATTAATAAAATACTTTTTTCTACAAAAAATAACATCTTATGACACCTAAGTGTTTGAAAAAAATAAGAAGAACAAATCAGACCGTATGAAAGTTAACTATAACAAATGTTCATTTTCATATCTCCTAAAGTTTCAGTAGAACAAAAGAAAAGATATAAATAATGTTAATAATAAAAGTATTTAAATATTTTTTGACAATCATAATATATTGAAGCAAGACGTCAAAGAGAAAATGAACAAGTACATCACATCACGTCAAATCTTTAATAAAAAAATAAAAGGCAAGAAAAGGAAGAAAGTAAAAAAAAAAATGAATAAAAAATAAAAGATTACCTCCAAGGTTCGAATTTCTTGTTGAGTGAGTTCGGCGCTGGTCGAACATTGAGTTCTTAAACCTTCCAGTCGATCAGCAGAAATGTCAATCATGGATTGAACGACGTCCAAGGCTCGTCGAGTCTCTTGTTCCGCATCTTCACCGTCCGCCATCCCTCGCAGAAAATGCGAAGGCCCCTGATGTCTTCGTCAATTTTCTTTAATTCTATTTAACAGGCATAATGTACAAGTTTCGTACAAGTCAACTCTCGATCGGTCGCGTTATCACTGATCATTTGAGGAACTAAACCACTTATCAACATTGACAACCATCTTGGCCGCCTATCACTGACGTCAATCGCTGCCCGGCAATCCGGGATCGCAGCGCCTGCATCTTCTTAGTCTCTCTCTTTTGGATGTTTCTCTTTCAACGTTCCAAAACACATTTTTTCATATCACCTTAACAAAATCCATCTCATTCACTTTATAATAACATATATTTCTAAACACAAACAATTTTATCAATTGTTAATATGTGTGTCAACGTTTATAATATAATTATAGTTAATAACAATGTTCAAAACTGTACCAAGAATATTTACCGCCCAGATGCAAATTTTTAGCAGCCGACATTTAAAAAACTAACTACGCGGGTGGATGAAATGTTTTTAGCTTAATATAAAAATAGTTTTGTTTTCGATTAAATTTCTCTTTTATTTTTTGATTCGAACCTTTTTAATTTACCCTCGTAAAAAAATTGCATGTAACATTTACTACAATAAATAAAATAACTATTTATACAAGATAATGATACTGCTCGAGTGCGATACACCTCTGGTGGCTGGTTACGGTCTGATGCTGCCAACTAGCGGCAGCAGACGCAAACAACAGCTACAACGGAGAGCCGTCTTCTGAGCGCCGCAGCTGCGCAACTCGTAGCACGCCGTTCTTCGTCAAGTAATCGCGGCTAGAGACAATAGGTAGCATCACAAGCATCCAACATGACAGGGTCTTTACCAACATGTAGCTCCTGCTAGTTACAATAAGTAGCAGGATAGAAGTTGACAAAAGTGGACATTGGTTCCGCTCACTGCCTTCCGACTGCCTTTGAACCGACGAGTTAAATTTCCGCATCGACTAATTGAACTTGACTAGCGTCTGTATTAACACGTTAAGTACCACGCAAATTCTTGACATAGACCTCCTCTTCTTTCATTGACCTCCACGCTAGTTTTTAAGAAAATCTCCGTCAGGCCCACGCGTACTGCTATACTGCACTACACAACAAAGTCGGTGTATAACGATACTGTGTCAATAGTTACTTATTGTAGTAAGGCATTACATTTAGAAATTCTTATCCTAAGGAGAGGATAATCTTTTTTAGATGATTATTGAGGCTTTTTTGTTTCTTATTTTTTTATAATATAAGATAAGTACGTTTACAACGAAATGTTTCACTACATGCATTTAGTTAAAAATCTTATTTCAAGGACGAAGTATCTATGAAAGCGTGTGAGATACGAAAATTATTTTTTCTCTATCAAATTTTTTTTCAATAGTGACGAATAATTAATATTTCTTTGTGTTATAATTTTTTTCTCTAATTTTTTGTGATGTCGAAAAGAAAAATGGAAAAGTTATCTTCTAGAAAATCATGCTGTAGTAAAAAATCCTATTACGACGAGGTTTACACAAATTCTGATAGTAGCGATGAAGAACAGTCGATTTTTAGAGATTTGTTAGAAAAAAAATATAAATAGAATTAAGTCTGATTCTGATTTAGATACTGATAAATACTCTTATAACTTGAGTGATATTCAATATGAAGATAGTATTTGTTATATTTTACAAAAATTAGTTGTTGAGGAAGAAAGAAATGTTGATACCGAAGAATGCACAATTCAATTTAGTGAATGGAACGAATTTTATTCTTGGCAAGAATCATTTTCTTTTACTGAAAAATACGGCCTTATTATAGTCCGGAAGCTAGCAACGTCGGGAAAATGATAATAGGGGATAAGCTAATTTTTTGATATGTCGTTCTTCTTGATCTTTCGGTTAGAACCTGCACTTCTTGGCTGGCCGTAGGTCTTGCGTTTACTAGTGCGCATCCTACCTGTACAGGTAATAATCCTAGATTTTAAAAGAATGTTGGAAAGCCTAATTTTCTATTTATTGACTTTAGATTGATTTATCAAACATAAATTTTTTATTGCCATGTACTTTTCTCATTGCTAAATATCTGCCATAT